GCAGGAATGATAAAGGAGGCTTAGGCAAGAAGGAAGTCTTCACTCCCCAGAGAGTTTCAAAGCAAAGACCCATTGCCTTTCCATCCCCCAGGAAGGGAATTTCATGTATCCTTAAGAGCCAGTGATACTGGAGCAACAAATTAGTGTCATCTTGCTGCCAATTCTTCAGAGCTCCCAAAAAAACTCCAAAACAAAACAAAAAAGCTGTTCTTCCTTCATTTTTTCTTTGCATTCCTCAGTGCATCCTCTGGTCTGTTCTACCCTGAGCTTCTTGATTACGAAATAGCCCTCAGAGCAGCTCAGTATCTGCTGGCAGCCCTTTTAACCTCCCCTTACCTACGCTAAATTAAGGAGGGATTTTCCCTTTGCTGATCTGCCAAGAGCACAGTCAGGCCCATTGCTTCAGCCAAATTATTCACCTCTTAAAAAAAACACCAACCACCAGAGATTTTGGTGAGTCCTTGTGGTCTCTTGCTAAATGAAGGGCTGTTCCTAGAGCTCAGAGCAGCGTTGTGTCCATGTGTCATTCATTAATGGGAATGCCACTGTGGGAAGGCATGTAAGACTTCCCAACTCTGCAAATAAATCCTTCCAGAATGATGAGCATGAGTTGGAAAAAAAAAAAGGCTTCTGAATTGTTCCCTTTAGTCCCTAATGAAATGTTTGGCCCAGGGTCATCTCCTGAGGGAAAACAAATCTCACTGCAGCAGGGGACCAGTGAGACCCATCATCTCCTTTCCAAAGGACAACTGCTGGGAGCAGAGATGCTCCTGCCCCTCCATCCTGGGAGAAACCCAGCCAAGAGTTGCTGATTCCAGTAATTTGGTCCCAGGGAAGGTTGATGGTGTTTCTTGGAAGCGGAGTCTCCGTGGCATGAGCACTGGAAGAGCCACGAGTTGCATCACTTTCCTCCCTCCCACCCAACGCGCTCTGCGTGCTCCCGTCCCCAGGCTGCCTGAGTCCAAAAGCAGCTGCTGGCTTCTGGCAGAAGAATTAGGTGGAAGGTTCCTGGGATGACCCAGATTTCAGGGAGGAGTCCTCTTAATCCCTCCAGAAGCAAAGGAACTGTGTGTGGACAGAGCTGAATGTTGTTTAGGGTGCCCTTCTCGTATTCCCCTCGCTGCAGCGGTCGCTGCTGTTTGGAGCATGGCCCTGGCAAGCCCCAGGGCTTCTCACAGCTCCTGAGGCAGCATCTCTGTGTTTTTCCCATCCCTGGGAGATGTACCGGCTGCTTCTCTGAGGTAGAAAAGCCAGAGGCATGGGCTGGTCCCTCTTCTACCCACCATCCCCGAGGTGCTGCACTCAGAGGGCTCTCCTGCTGCTTGGTGAAGAGCAGCTGGGATGTGGTGCTTGAGTTGAAGGTGACCCAAGGTGACTGATGGCCTTAGCTAGTCGTGGCTGTGTCCAGCTGGCTGACACAGACCTGATGGTAGACAGAGGGGTTCATGGCACTAACGTGGTTGTTCTCCTGTTTCTAGATCATTCCTAACTTCTACCCACCACTGGAGGCTCACGTCCGGCAAGGCGTCTTCAACTCTCTCACCCACATTGTGGAGAAGCGAGTCCTTGCGTAAGACAACCCTGAATTTTACTGCATTTATACAAGTGCTGTGCACCAGTGTTCTTGGGTCTCACCAGCCTGGTCAAAATGGTTCTGTAAGAGCTGCAGAAGGCATTTGTGTTCTGTCTGAACCATGGAAGAAGCCATAATTGTGTCTTTCTGATGCTGAGGCTTGTCCTGGGAGCTGTTCCTTGAAGCAAGGGACTGGGTGGGTTAAGAAAGCTACAGCCACTCTGCTTCAGATGAATAGAAATGTCCCCAACCCTTTCTGGTCTCCAGGCTGAATGGAGCAACCTTGCTTATGGTGCTCCAGCCTGCAGCCAGCTCCTGCCTGAGCCCCCCTCCCAGGAGGTAAGACCTCTTCTCCCCTTCCCACCTGCCTTCTGGGGATGAAGATCCCATGGGTGGCAAAGTGAGGGAACCCAAGCTGAGCTGCAGGAAGGAAGGAGGGACCTCATAGCTTGTGGTCCATAACTCATACCAAAGCCCTGGTGTAAGGGAGGAGATCCCTTTGCACGTCCACTGAGGTGAAGCTACACAGCAGGGCACCACATCCCACCTCTTTCTCATCCCTTTCCCTTCCTACCCCCCAACACAGACATCTGGCCCCTCTCTTCGACAACCCCAAACTGGACAAAGAGCTCCGTGCCATGTTGAGGGAGAAATTCCCGGAGTTCTGCAGTTCACCCTCACCCCCCATCGAAGGTAGGGAGTGGGATGGGTGGTGGGGGGAGGCTGGGACAGGGCTTTCCCAGGCTCTCCTGCAGGCAGGAGGGTTGGAGCAGGACTCCGGGGAGAGGAGAGCTCTGGGTGCTCATATTTATGGGTGGTTGTGGTCTCTACTCATCTCAGCTCTGCTGTCCACTAAAGATACACACTGGCAGTTCCTCTGCTCCGTGGGGGCTATTTAGCCTTTCTCTGTAGGTTAATTGATTAACATAATTAGGTGAGACAAAGAGTGAGCATTTCTAAGCTGTATTTAACAGCAGAGTGCTGCTGCTTGGCCAGGACTCGCCTGTCTGTTTTTCCTGTTGCATCAACTGCTCTGGCTGAAGGAAATGGGCTCCAGTTGTGGCCAGGGCAGTTGAGATGGGATGTGAGGAAGAATTTCTTTGCTGAAAGGGTTCTGAGGCATTGGAAGGGGTTGCCCAGGGCAGTGGTGGAGTCCCCATCCCTGGAGGGATTGAAGAGTCGTGTAGACATAGTGCTGAGGGACATGGGTTAGTCGGGGACTTGTCAGTGGTGGGTTCATGGTTGGACTTGATCTTGAAAGGGCTTTTCCAATCCAGACCATTCTGGGATTCTGTGACCCACTTAACCCATAAATCCTGCCAGCCCAAGTGTCTCAGCCTCGTGGAGCTGGCAAAGCTGTTGCTCTGCTCAGGGACTCAGGTTCTGCTCTTGGCTTGGTGAGGGATGAAGCACGAAGGATGCTAAGCAGCTTAGGTGGAGAAGGACCCAGACCCACACTTGGCACTGGGTAGGGATGGTTAAATGGAGTGACTGGGAATTTTCCAAGGTCTGTCACTTGCCCAGACTCTCTCTTTTCTTTTCAAAGCACTTTTATCTCCTTGCTGGAGCCTGTTTGTCAGTCGAGGTGACTCGGAGGCAGAGCTTCTCCTGCCACTTGGCTGCGTAGGAACCATCCTAACCCCGCTTTCTGCTCTGACCCCTTTGCAGTCAAAATTGAGGAACCCGTTTCCATGGAGATGGACAATCATATGTCAGAAAAAGATGACAGTTGCTATGACAACGCTGAGGCAGCATTCAGTGACGATGAAGACGACTTGAACAGCAAAGGTGAGGAATGTGGTCAGCTGGTGCTCTCAAGCCCTTGTGCAACCGTCGCGATGTGAATCGCTGCCCTTTGCCTCCGCGCCGGACGGTGTTTCCCCGCCACTTCACGGACACCTTCCCTTCCTGCTGGAGGATCTTCTGACAACCAGCACAGTTCCCTCAAAGCTCCTTTCTCATGAGCAGTAGGAATTGCTGTTCTCCAGGCAGGTCCCCTTCTGGAGATCCAGGTTTCCTTCTGCAAGAGAGGGTGTTGAGGCCGATGCTCTGCTACTTCCCAGTCCCTGACAGCCAGACTCAGTAGATCTGATACAGATCTGTGCTCCAAGGGAAATGCTGCTGGGCTTCATCTTCCTCACCTGGTTATTCCCTAGAGCTTAGACCCTTCTAACGTAGCACTTTCTCCACCCCTTGCATCCTCTCTAAATGTCTGCCCAGTCCCAAGCGCCGCTGCGTTACGTGGTTGGGAATCCCTGTGGCAGATGCTGTGCCTGGATGGTTTGTTTGGGAACAGGGTGTCTCTGTTCTCAGGCAGCTGCTAATGAAGCTCAGGCCTTTAATTGCTCAACCACACGGTTTTCATTACACTCACTCCTTTTCGAAGCCACGGGGCTGATGAGCCAGCACCAGGCCAGAATCCCCTCTGCTCACTCTCTGGAGTTAGAGGCATCTCAAGCTGTTCCTGGCCTTGGTGGTAGGACTCTTGTGGGCTTCCTGCCATGCTGGAGGGTTACCCCTGCAGTGGGGAGGAGCCACGGGCCCAGGATGGGGCAGAGGATGTGACACTGTGCTGCAGCACTGTCTTCAATAGTCCTGTCAAGCCCTGCCAACTGCTTGAGGCCCCTGAGAGGGACACAGGCACAAAAACCATGTGCAGAGAAGGTTTTTGCAAAGGGGATCAGCCACCTTTGTCCCATCAGCTTCTTTGCGAGTGCTCCTGCCTTGGCTCTGGTGCTTCTGGACTCTGCTACAGTTTATTTTTGTGGCCTGGAATGAGTCTGGAGGATGAGGGTGTGGAAAAGCAGTTGGGGTATCTCAGTCCCAGGGTTGTGAACACAAGTGTTTGCTTCTCGGGTGGAGAGAGACTCACAAGCTGGCTACGTTTGTCAAGCACGTTGAAGGACAGACAAAGCTTCAGGTTTGGAAACTGGACTGAACAGGAACCACAATTCTGGACACCCACCCCCTGAGTTTGGATCTCATCCCACCTTCCTGCTCACCTGTGACCTGGACACATCTCTAAAGGGTGAAGGCAAGATCTGAGGCTGGACCACACGTTTGGGGCACGCTGCTTGTCTTGGGGTGGCAACTGTCCCCGCAGCCCCTCCAGCTCCCACTGCTAGGACAGAAATTGCCTCTGGTACCTCTTTGGTGTAGCTACCTGGGAAAATAGACTGTTCCACTGTGACTTTCTTTGTTGCAGGGAAGAAGAGGGAATTCAGGTTTCATCCCATCAAAGAAACCATTGTGGAGGAGCCTGTTGATATCACACCATTCCTGGACCAGTTGGATGAGTCGCTGAAGGATAAAGTCCTGCAGCTGCAGAAGGGAAGGTTGATATCATTTGATTTATATTTTGTTATAAAATGTGTTATATTTTGTGTTGATCTCTTTGAGGCAATGACACACAGGACTTTTTAGTCCTGTTGTGAGGTGCTGCTTGCTCCAGAGCTCTTCTCTCAGAGCTAACGCAATCCTGTGGTTTGTCTCCCTTTAACAGGGAGAGGTTTTCCCCTGCACAGCTTCTGCAGGAAATGTCCAGGTGCTTTTAAAAGCTTAAGAGCCTTTTAATTTGTCCTTGGGGCAGGCTCAAGCCAGGACACAAGAGCAATTTGCTGAGGGGCTATAACATTTCTCTGAATCAGTGACAGGAAGGCAAAAGTCTTGTTGAGTTTCATCCTTTTCCGCTGTTGGATTGACCAGAGGAGGTCGTGTCAGCCTTTGGGGCTATTGCTGCCTGGGGGTTTCAGTACATCCCTGCATGGGACATGGAGATGTACCCGTGTCTGCATGTTCTCCGGATTTCCCCACCTCCACTCTTGATTTTCAGTGACCTTGGAATTAACTCCATCTAAAGAAGGTTAAAAAAAAAAGAAGAAGCTCTTGCTTTGCAGACCTTGGCGTAGCGGACTGATTTAATGTAATTTATGTCTTTATGGCTTTAAGTGCATTTAATCTCATGCTTTTAGTCATTTAATTTGTTTGTCTTGCTGCAGACAACCTCGGGTGCTTTTGGAAGTAGGTGCTGCAGCAGTGCAGCCTTGTTCTTCTAGGGCTGGGTCTTTGCAGTCTGTCCTTCTAAGCCATGCCTTCCCCTAAGCCTGGCACCAGTGCAAAGCAGAACCCCCCCCCCACTCTCAGATCCTGGGGGGCTGTCGAGCAGAGCCAGCTCAGCACAAAACCCCCCTTGTCCCTGCTTTCAATATCTTCCTATGTAACTTGGATTTCCTCTTGTTTTTGTGCTCCAGCGATACGGAAGCTCAGTGTGAGGTCATGCAGGAAATCGTGGATCAAGTCCTGGAGGTAAATGTACAAACCCCGGGGAGCAGCGCCGCTGCCTCGCTGGAAAACCAAGAGCAGCTGCAGTGGCCTGGGGCTGAGCCTGAGGACATTCCAATCCTAAAGGAGTCCCAAATGCCACCGTGCAGCTCTAACCCTGGTGGTTAAACACAGCCCCAAGCTGCTGCTTGCTGGAAGGCTCTAGCAGGAGACCATCACTCCATCCACGCTCTGTTTCTTTGTACCTCGTGCCTAAATGTCCCCAGTAGCTGCTCACAGGCAGGACACAGGGTGAGGCACGCTCATATTTTGATGCCATGCAGCCTCAAAAGCACCCAAACCACCACAGGCTGCTCTGGTGTCTGCAGAGCTGCTGAGGGTTTCTCCATGTGCCCTGCAGCTGGGATGCTCCTTTGCTTTTTGGCTCTGGGTTTTGTGCTCAGCAAACCCTGCCCAGCAGAAGAGCTGTGGATGTTTTCCAGGAGCTGAGGGTTCAAGGGAGGTTGCATCCCCTGCCTCTCATCACTTCTCTTTAGAGTCAAGTGGCCTTTTAACATATGAGAGCTGCTTCTCCCCTCTGTGGGAACACGGGGAAAGGGCTCGTCAGGGTGTAAATCCTCATTGCCAAGTGCCTTAAGTCCCTGTTAGCCCTTTGCAGAGGGAGAGCTGAGCTCAGTGAGGTACAAACCATTAGAGGGTAAGTGGACCACAGTGATTGTGAAGTGCTCCAGAGCTGGATGTTAATTAGAGCCTTGTCTTGTGGATGATCAGCTCCTGGTGCTGCAAAACAGCAGCAAAATGGCTCCTGAGCTGCTCTGGGGTCCATTCCCCGCAGAGGTGACTGTGCTGTGTCCATTCCAGCTGTACCTGTGCTGGGCAGGCAGGGTTTGAGCTGATGCTTTCTCCTCTCATTCCTTCCTTTCTCTCTACCAGGAGGACTTTGACTCAGAGCAGTTATCAGTGCTTGCATCCTGCCTCCAGGAGCTATTTAAGGCTCATTTCCGTGGTGAGGTTTTGCCAGAAGAAATCACGGAGGAGTAAGGATCTGGGGTTTTTTTTTTGTGTGTATCTCATCCTTTCCCAGTGGGACTTGGGCTTTTCCCAGTAAAATATTCACCATTTTCAGAAGGCTGTGCTAAAGCCAGCAGCTTCCCCTATGAAGCAATCCAGGGTTCACAAGTGGTCAGTGTGGATGGAGCTGGTCAATAGTTGTCATATCCAGGGCTCAAAAGAGACCATCTTCCTCCTCCCAAGTGCAGGGAGAACCTGCTGCCACACGTCCTGGTGTCAGAGCTCAGTTTAGGTGATGCTCTGGTGGCTTCTGACTGCTTGACCAAGGCACACAGGGTGCTAAATACTCCATCTGTCCCTCCTGTACCTGCACAAACGAGCACTGGGCGCTCTTCCTCTGGGATTTTATTGGAACAAGGCTTCTAATAAATAATAAATAAGAGTCAGAGCTTCTGGGGTCTGTTAGCAGGATCATTCCTGTCTCCTCATTAGCTTGAGCTAACCTTTGATGGCCTGAGGACCACAACGAGCAAGATCCAGGGCTTCTTCCCTGCCATTCCTGGGGAAACACAGAGGGTTTGGTGCCCACAGAGCTCTGACTGTTGTGTTTGTCCCACAGGTCTCTGGAGGAGTCGGTGGGGAAGCCTCTCTACCTAATATTTAGGTATGGCTGCTCTGAAATTTTTGAATAATCTCATTAGGGGTCACTTGTTTCCTTCCTGACCACCACTGTAGGTGAACCATATGGGTCTAATTCTGCCACACCCCTGCTTTACCCCAGGGCTTATCCCAGAATCAGAAGAGTTCATGGCTTCGTTCAGCCTGTGCTGGGTTTTGTTTAGTAGAAAGGCTTAAAAAAAAAACAGGAAAATCCCAGCTCATCTGTGGGAACCTGGGATCCTTGAGTAATTTAACTCTGCTGGGTCCTGACCCCTTTGTTGCTGCATGTCACGTTGTCCTCTGCAGCAGGGCTGGGAGAGGTGGTCTCTGTGTCCAGTTCAGAGAGTGGGTGGCCAGGACCACCTGGTCCTGGGAGCTGGGTTTTCCTGGGAGCTGCTGGTCCTCATCGTTAGCAGAGAAGCTCACACATGGTATCCAGGCTGAGAGAGTTGGGGCTGTTCAGCCTGGAGAAGAGAAGGCTCCAGGGAGATCTTACAGCGGCCTCCCAGTACCTGAAGGGGCTCCAGGAAGGCTGGGGAGGGACTTTTCATAAGGGCAGTTAATGACAAAACAAGGGGAAATGGGTTTAAGCTGAAAGAGGGGAGGTTTAGATGAGATATTAGGAAGAAGTTCTTCACTGTGAGGGTGGTCAGACACTGGAACAGGTTGGCCAGAGAAGCTGTG